GATGACTATGGCAGGACTGGGCATGGTGTCCCCTTAATGCTGGTAAAAAGTTCACCCCAGCAGCTCCCAGCCTGGGAGAAGGGTGTGAAGAAACGGCCCCTTTGTGTGGAGAGAGGAGAAAAGAGCAGGCACTACCTCAGTGGCACAAAGCGAGGTGCCATTAGGTGCCCCCACCGCAGATGCCACACGCTTACGTCTGCATCTTCGTGCTTGTTGACACCATGGAAGTAGAAGGGCCTGCCGTTGATGAGGAACTGCGTGCTGGTGACGTGGACGGTGCGGATGCCAACCGGGAGCGTGTACACGTCCTCCAGCAATGCCCCGCTTGCCTCCGCCTGCATTTTCACCTGGATTTCCAAAAGGGAGATAGAAATGAAGTGATCCTTCACAAGGACGCTCCATCCTCCCACCCCGCTGTGTGTAAGGGCCATCCTGACAGCCTGTCCATCTCCCAGCGCTGTCTCAGCACACAGCCTGCTTCTTGCTGCTGCTTCAGCCACCTCTTGTGGTCCTCATGTACCTCCTCGGGCAAGGAGCAAGGTCTGACTGAACAGAAAATAGAAATCCAAGCTGGGGAAGTTGAAGGATGAAGAATGAAGCTGGATGACCCTCCTGGGGCTTGCTCACCCCAAGAGTTTCTTTTTCCCTTTACTCATCTGGGCCGCTTCATCCTCCCAGGCAAGGCAGCAATATCTCTTCTGCCCTGCACCCGATATCAGGCAATGACTGAAATGTCATCTGCTCACAAGAGCTGCAAACCTGCACCTCTGGAAACTCACAGCAGCTCATCTGGCCTCATTTCTGCATCCAAAAGTCACTACTTGGTCTTAACTCTCACAAAGTCTTCCAGGCTCGTGCTATGGATGCTGAACTCTTGTCTTGCAGAGTGGAAAGAAAGCTCATTGCATGGCAAATCACATGGAAGAGGTTAGCAGCCCGCTCCTCGGAGACTCTCAGCTTTTGCAATTTGTCTCAAATGGTCTTTTTGCGAGGGATGGCTCGGGCCCTAAATGTGAAGGGCAAGCATCTTGGAGTGAATATGAGAATGGGAGATGGGCCCATGTGGCAGTTCCTTAACGCTATCAGACAGTCAGAGGGAACACACACGAAAAGGAAGACATGTCACTGTTACCTCTAAGAAGTAGCGGTATCCAGGGTTCTCATGCATCAGGTAAGGCCACCAAAGATGTGGGTTCAGGACTTTTAGCTCTCCAGCTGGCCCATCGCCTGTAGCAACCACCTTCCCTTCTTGGTCACGTAAACTGAGGGACAAGGAGTAGAGTGTGCTGCCGACAACCGACACCTGATAGTGCACCATTGCTGGTTCAAAGGAAACAAAGGACAATCAGAGGCTGCCGCGAAAGGAAACCTGCACGCATCAAATGTTGGAGGGTTTTCGTGTGGAGCAGCATTGAAAAATAAGGGAGAAGTAGAACAGTGGCATGAATTGAATGTGAGAACCGAGACCTGTCTGTCTGGAGGTCCAGAAGTTTCCAGCAAGATTTGTATCACAAATCCTTAGAGATAATTCTGTTTTAAGTGGCAGGAAGACTGCCTCTACTGAGAAATTCTACTTCGAGAAACACCTGATCATCCTCTCAGTTAAACAGCAGTTTCTTGCAAGCATTTCTTTTTTCTTATTGCTTCTAAACTCTTTACTCTTGCAACTGCTGAGCTGGGCAACGGACCAGGTCGGGTTCAAGAGAAAGCCACTATGTAACAAATTCAACAGGATCTTTGCAGGATAGTTTCTCTGCTGTCCTTGTCACCTCCATTTGGAGCCCGAGACAGATGCTGTAATTGTTCTGGACCTACCAGCACTCTCTGATGCAGTAGTTGTCACGGTAATATCATCTATGTAGACAGATGGAGTGGTGTAAAGCACAACCGGGCGATGGATTCCAGCATAATTAAAGAAATCAAACCTGATGTTCTGTACAAAATAGTTCTTGGGATACCTGAGTGAGCAAGACAGGAGAAATGGCTACGTTATGTTTCATTACACAAGAACTGAAGGCAGCATGTGGATGCTAGGAATGTAAAGCAGTAATGTAAAAACAGATGCTAGCTGGTAAAATACTCTTTACAACAGGATGGATCTACTTCTCAGTGGTGCTACTGCTGCCACACTGGAGGGAAATACCAGGTAACAAACAGCTAATGCAAGGAACTGGTTTGATCCTTCAGCTGGTACTTGCAGTTCCCAGCTGAATTCAAGCTTCCTCATCACACAAAAGCTTAAACTCCTCCCTGCTCGACTGAGGAAACCTGGTATAAATACAACCCATGCTTGCATAAGAAGCTCAGAGGGTCTTACGAAGCAGCAGCTGGATAAATTCCCATCCTCTCAGCCCTGGGATAAGGTCGGGAGCACAGCGCTTCAGCAGCTCACCTGGTTTTGTCATCCATGTACTGAATGGACCCCGGCGGCAGAGTATGGGGTGTCAGGGTGTTGTTGAGTGCAACAGTGATGCGGCAGGGAATCCCTGGGCTGCCCTGGACGACGCTGCTTATATCGGCCTCAAAAGGGAGGTGGCCCCCTTCGTGCTCCACGACTTGGACTCCGTTGACCCACTGCAGGAAAAGACACCCATGAGCCCAAGGAGCAGAGGTTTTGTGGTAAGCGTAGCGGGGAGGAGTCCAGCAAAGGGCTCCCAGCTACACCAAACCTTGCTCTGGGCTCTTACTCCTGCAGGGATCCAGCTAGGATCCCTTCCTGTGCTGGGAGCCAGGTTTGGGTCATGTACAAGTGTTACTGGGAGACAGTTTGGGGCAGATTTGGTTGCAAGGAAATGTTTTAGCTAACAGTCCTGACACTGGAGGATCAGAGAAGAGAGGCCTGGGAAACGTGGGCATGTTTTTGGCTGGAGGAAAACAGCCAAGAGTTAAGAAAACAGCAAACTGGTATAAAATCTAGGCAGAGATGTGTTTGCTGAAGAAGCCACGGGACAGATTTTAGTGAAGCATTTTGGAAACACATGGATAAGTTTATGAGCCACCTACCACAATGGAGTAGTAGTGGGCGCTGCCGAAGCGGAGCACCACCCTGGTGTTGAGGTCATCCCGAAGCCAGCGCAGAGGCAGCAGCACCTCCTTCTCGTACCAAACCCAGCCGATGTAGTTCTCCAGGCTGGGGTCTTGAGTGATGTCATTGAAGCTGGCGGGCACTGGCATGTCGATCACAGGGCCCGTCTGGCAGGAAATTGCACAGAATGGGAAGAAACAGATTTAAAAAACACTTTTAAAACAGATTTTACTGTCTTGGCTGTCCAACCTGGACTACTAGAGGTGTCGCCTACCACTGAACCCCTTACAATCCCTTTACCTAGTGGAAATATTTGTTAAAACCTGTTTAGAAACTGCTGTGGTCTGCCACAGGTCCTGTACAAGGTACCAGACCCAGAAGTCTGTCTGTTCCTACAAGAACCTGCTCTGACCTTCTTCTCCTTGTGATTTATGCTAGAGTGTGCATTTATTAATGGCTGCAGTATTACAGAATCAGAGAAATCTCTCTAGGTTGAGAGAGGTTCTCCTGCCCCTCTACTCTGCCCTGGTGAGACCGCATCTGGAATATTGTGTTCAGTTCTGGCCCCTCAGTTCAAGAAGGACAGGAACTGCTGGAGAGAGTCCAGTGTAGGGCTACAAAGATGATCAAGGGAGTGGAGCATCTCCCTTCTGAGGAGCGGCTGAGGGAGCTGGGGCTCTTTAGTTTGCAGAAGAGGAGACTGAGGGGAGACCTCATTCATGTTTAGAAATATTTAAAGGGTGAGTGTCACGAGGATGGAGCCAGGCTCTTCTCGGTGACAAACAATGACAGGACAAGGGGTAACGGACACAAACTGGAACACAGGAGGTTCCACTGAAATTGGAGAAGAAACTTCTTCTCAGTGAGGGTGACAGAGCCCTGGCCCAGGCTGCCCAGAGAGGTTGTGGAGTCTCCTTCTCTGCAGACATTCAAAACCCGCCTGGACGCCTTCCTGTGTAACCTCATCTGGGTGTTCCTGCTCTGGCAGGGGGATTGGACTGGATGAGCTTTGGAGGTCCCTTCCAATCCCTAATGGTCTGGGATTCTGTGATTCTGTGAAATGAGAGAAAAAAAACTGCCCAGGCCATTATTTCAGCCTGAGAATTCCCAGTGACTGCAGTTTCTCCTGCACAGCTCTGCTGTTTGGCGCACAGTGGTGAGGTGTCGGTTCGCCGGTGCTGCTTGTCAGGCTGCGAGCTGTAGTAGAAGGGTGAGAGTCACAGATATTTTGGGCCAGACGCCATAGACTCCTTAGGATTACAACAGAGCGAATGCACTTGCTTATTTTTAATATAAGGATTCTAGGCAGGCAGCGTCGTCATTTACCATTGAGGTAATGGGATGCTGTTGCAAAAGAGCCATTGTATGAACGAGCGCTGCGGCAGCTTCCCCTTTCCTAAGGAAGTCTGGCCCCGGCGAGCGGAAAGGGGAAGGTGCGGTGGCCCAGGGGTGAGCATCATGTGCGTGCCTGACTCAGCACCGAGCTGCACCGGCGCTGCAGAGCAACTCAGCGCCTCTATCAGACATCAGAAAGTCCCAGCAGGAAAATCCTCGGATGGTGAAGTGGTCTTCCCAGGATTTGGTACAGGGTAACCTTTGGGATGGCTGTAACATGTGCCTCCTTCTCTGATGTCTGAAAGAGGTTGAATATGCGTGTCTGAGCCTTTTTCGGGGGGGCACAGTCGAGGATCCCTCTCCTCTGGCTGCCTCTTATCACAAAACTTCTAGCAGCGCGGTGCCTTTCAGCTCTTATTCCACAGCTTGCCAAAAAATTGGCTAAAATAGAAATGATGAAGGACACGGACATTTTATGCATAGAACACACGGCTTCTTTCTTTTAGGAGACGGTGTTAATTTTGTAATGGATTTCAGCCACAGCAGAACTTGTTCTGGGCAGCTTTGGAATAAATAATTCAGGAGTGCCCTGTCCAGGAAAATTTTTGCTTGTTCTGTGCTGCTGACCACAGGTCGATGCTGTGCAAGCCCAGCCTTTTGCAGCACAGGGGCTTCTACCACAGGCGGCTGTAGCTCATTCAGACGCTTTCTGCCTTGTGAGCAGAAGCAGGATCACCTGAAGCCGGTAATTGAAAAAACAAACCCCTTAAAAAGCCCTCTGCGGAGCGATGAGGTG